TCGGGGCCCCAGCTGCTGCCAGCTTCCGGTCCTGTCAGCCTCTGGAATGTGCCAAGCCTTTGCCGCCCGGTGGCCAGTCCAGGCCCCGCCGGCTTACGGGGACCCTTCTGTCGTGTCCTCTGTCCCCAGTTCTTTCCCGTTCGCTCACTCGTGCATTAAGTATGGGGCGCCTGCTGGGGGCCGGGCAGGTGGAGGCCCCCCTTCCCGGCACCCCTCGCCTAGGTCGCTCCGAGGGGCTTCTGCCCAGACCCCACTGGGTGCAGCTGCAGTGGGGGCTGGGAGGCCGTGGTCTCGCTGTGGCCCCCCTCCCGCCCGGTGATCAGAGCCTCCGCGCTCACTCCCTCCCAGCCTGCTGACCCAGCATCCTGCCCGCTGGCCGCCGACCCGGGGGCCCCTCTCTGGCACGCAGACTCCCGCTGTAGTCCAGCGCTGGCCCCCTATAGTCCCAGAGGGGGCTTGATCAGAGAGCAGGACGGGCCGCAGGCTGTGCACAGCCTCCTCCCTGCAATCCTCAGCCAGCCTCCGCCGCCTCCGCTGCAGTTTCGGAGGGGCGGCAGAGGTGGGAGAGGGCTGGCCTGGTCCAGCCTGGCCAGGGGCCCCGCCCACCACAGGCCCCGCCCACCACAGGCCCCGCCCCACGCCCCGCCTGGCGCCCAGGAAGTGTTTGGCAGGAGCCTCCTGGGAAGCCCGGGGGCAGCACCTGTCCTGAGCGTGGAGTGGCCGTGCCCCGGCTCTGACTCTGCCCATGCCATCCCCAGACCACCCCTCCGTGTTCTTTGGGGTTGGGGTTCAGCTGACGGGGCTGCCTCCTTTGGCCCGCAGAATGATCCGAGTGACAGGGAGGCGGGGCCAGCAGCCCAGGCCAGAGGTGACTGAACCCAGGCAGCAGGCCTCGCCTCCGCCTGGTCCCTCCGCCTGGTCGCAGGCTTCCTTCCTGCCCGGAGTGGCAGGCCCCCCCCCCCCCCCCCATGCATCACCGTGCCCTGAGCCCCCGGGGACCCCGGTCACCTGATCTCCGGGAGAGCCCGCTCCCCTGTCTGCACCAGGAACAGCTCTGCTGGCTGCTCAGAACAAAGAGGCCGCCCCGCCCAACTTCTCTCTACTGCTTCTCCCCATCCAGGGCTTGGGGGGCCTCCCGCCAGGGCGCACCCCGCTCCCCTGCCCCGGGACCGGTCCCTGGACCCTCTAGACCCTAGGGAGAGGTTTCCCAAGTAGCTGCGTGCTCCCAGGGGCTGGGTTCCACGCCCCCCACCCCTCGGTGAGCTCACCCCAGGCTGGCCTGGCCCAGCAGGGCCCCTCCGCCCTCGCCCCTGGCTGTGACCCTCTGACTCACGAGGCCCTGCACTGGGCCAGCTCCCCGGAGGGGCCTCTGGCTGGCTCTG